GGTTTAGGACTTCTTCCTTCGTGGTGGGGGTTTCCGACATGTCCGGTGGGTGTTGCTTCCAAGCCTTGCGAATTTCTTCCCAGAAAACTGATGTCTGGGTTTCTCCGAATTCTGTTCAAGAGGACTTCGAGTTGCAGGACGAACACGCGGGGGGCCGGCGGGTACCCCTGCCTTAAGGATGGGGTGAGTTGGAACAGCTCCGAGAGATGGCCGTTGATCATGACTGCTGAGGAGGAATAGGTGTACATTGCAATGATCCACGAGCAGAAACCTGAGGCGGCGAGGACGAAGGTCCATCACACCTTGGCGTAGGCCTTCTCCAGATCTAGGAGGACGGCCATGTCTAAGTTTTCCGTTTGCACCACTTCCAGTGTCTCAATTGGAGTCACTATATTGTGAAATAATCACTGAGGATCTTTCTCTACTAAGACTGGCAGATATTTGGATAACCTGCATGCCAACAACTTGGCAAGGATCTTGTAGGACATGTGCAGAAGGGAAATTGGGCGCCAGTTTTGGAGGTCCGCCTTATCCCCCTTCTTGAACAGGACTGTGATAACCCCGTGAGTCATCCCTCTCCCTAGCCTGCCCCTAACTAAAATGTCATTGTATACTTCCACTAACAGGGGGCCCAGCACCTCCCAATTTGCTGCATAAAAATTTACCGTGAGGCCATCCACCCCCGGTGACTTCCCCCTTGCCATTGACTTCACTGTCTGAGTAAGTTCCTCTAGTGTGAGCGGTCTGTCCAGGTCCATCTTTGCTGCCGTGTTCAGCTGTACCGTGGTGTCATTCCACATGTCTGAGTGTTGAAACAGGTCCGTGATCACATCTCGTTTTGAAGCCTGGTGGACAGGATGTCAGCTCAATACAGATTCGCGTACTGCAGCATTCTGGCCGCTGAGCAGGCAGCAGGAGCTGATTCGTCGAAGGGGTGTCTCAGCTCAATCATTTGCTGATGCGTCCTTCGCGGTTGAAGCTTCTTGAATGTCTCCTTCGTCATTTCGTCGTGCATCGAAGGGGTGTCTCAGCTCAATCATTTGCTGATGCGTCCTTCGTGGGAGGAAGGCAATAATTATTTCCTGTGCTTAACGAGTGAGGAGGGTACACCATTGATTCCTTCCATGGAAGTAGATCGCTGCCCCACGCAAGCGATGGTTATGGAGATCATGAGGAAACTGTACGGGGAACACGTCCCCGTCCGGCTCATTCCGAGGTCTCCTATGACAAGTGTTATAGTGGAAACTGTCCAAGGGTACAGTAAGCTGTACTTCCCGCTGTTAGATGCCCGGATACCTCCAGACTTGTTAGAGGCTCTTGGTCGGACTGGAGTCAGACGATTCCACACGGACCTCCTCAGGGAACGCAACTGGCGTGAGCTCGAGCTAATGAAGGTGCTCCCAGGTGTCTCTGCGATGATACTAGTAAACGTCAATGAGAAGCTCTTACAGGACGAAAATCTGTTCTCTGCTTTCCTAGTTAGGAGTATAACAGAAGATTAGCGTTCATTCTCAAGAGTAAAGCTCATCCAGAGGCAGTTCAAGACATCAGCGAAGGGGAACATTCAGAAGTGGCCACTCGGAGGAATCTCAGCCAGCTGAACAGCAACCAACTACCCGTATCCAAACTCTGACGGGGGCAAGCAAACACGATGGACGGGCTTCGAACTGTTTCCTGGAATGTGCGGGGTCTAGGGGACTCAAACGGCAGACAGAAGAGGAGAAGACTAAAGTGGTGGTTTTGCGGGTGGAAGGTGAACTTCGTGATGTTACAGGAATCAAAACTGAATGAAGACAAACTGCAGGACTTTGCACAATGGTGGGACGGCCCTCAGATTTGGGCCCCAGCGCAGGGCACTCGCAGTGGGGTGGGAATACGAGACCGCCAAGCACTTGTAATCAACTCCGAGGCCAAGATGTGGGGGAGATGGGCGTGGATGAAGTCGCAGTGGGGAGTGAGGAATGGGTGCTGATGACGGTGTACGCACCGACAGAGGTAGGGGAGAAAACGAATTTCTTCTCCAGGCCAAGGATGCAGGTCCCTAAGATGGACGAACTGCTACTAGCTGGGGACTGGAATGTCTCCCTAGATGAGGCCCTACGCCTGGGCTCCTTGACAGTAGACCGCAGGGATGCACACACCCTACTGGAGTTTAGCGCGGAACGGCGGTGTCAGATCCTTTTCCGATTCTTTATCCGGATGACCCCGGCTACACATGGTTCTCCATTTTGCATAGAACCAGGCAAAGCATAACGAGAAGAGGCCTGGATAGTCAGGTGCTGGAGGAGCCAGGCATCAAAGATTGGGTGAAAGGCCACTTCACCGGATGGGAGCAGGCCAGACCAGACTTCGACTCCCCAGCGCAGTCGATGGACGCTGGGTTGGCAATTGCATCAGGTGTGCTTGATGCCTGCTCAAGAATCCTGGCCAAAGCAAGAAACAAAAGGGAAGGGGACTGTCTGTGGAGAAAAGAGGAGGCAGAGTGCAGAATAGAGGGTCATCCAATCTCAGTGATGGTCTGGGCAGCGGAACGAGAAAGTAGAATGGCAGATTGGGATAAGATACAAGAGGAGAAACAGAGGAGATGGGTGGAGCTCCGAACGGAAAACGGAACAGAGACGCATGACAAATGACGAAGGAGACATTTAAAAAGCTTCAACCGCGAAGGACGCATCAGCAAATGTTTGAGCTGAGGCATCGCAGCTATTTTGCAAGATCCGCAGGATGTACAGGCCTATTGTCAGGCAAAGAATTTGTCCAGGTGAAACGGGCCATGCACGCAATACGACTGGCCTGGATGTATTTTTTGCGACGAGGCAGGGTGTGATGTCCAGGGCTGCGTCAGGCCGAAAAAAAACAATTCGGCATCCGGGCATAGAAACGAAATAATCCGGTAGCTGGGCAAAGTGGGCCGTGCACGCAATTCGATTTGCCTGAGTGTATTTTTTGCAACGCGGCAGGGTGGTGCATCCTGGCACATGTGGCCGTACGCATACAGCCGCGTTCTTGCAAAATGGCTGGGAAACATACTGGTGGTTGAACTCTTTCGTTCGCTCATCTACTTTTCAAATCTGCAGCCTCAGTTCTTCTCACTCCCCAATAATTGGATCATCAGCAGTACTCCTAGTGCCCGCTCTTTTCTAACACCTAAACGCTAAAACACCATACTTTGTCATTAAGACCCCATCTACTTGGTTCATTTTCGGTTGTTTCCAAACAATCCACCACTGTTCTTTTTTCTATCCTCTTACTTGTACTCCATTTTTTGCTCCGGTATTCACACGCTATTTTTGGTTTCAGACCCACTAATTTGACGTCCGTCAATACCCCCTTCCTGGTCGACTGCATACTCCGAGGGTGTATCGACATTATCAGCTTCGACGACTACTACAAATTTCCACATCATTGTACAAAATGACATTCGCACGGCCGCGAATGTGTGATAAGCAACCACAGTATCATCTTCGCAAAATCAAAACACAACAACGAACGTTCTCGTGCAACCAACCTCGGGAAAAAGTTTCAGTTATTACCAACCATTTCTACAACAGTAGTTTATCCCGTGACGTTTGAACTGATTCTGACGCTGTCGAACTGTTCATAACATTCAGCATGCACATTGTTTACGGTGCTGTTTTCTCACTGTTATTCAAGAGCCCCTTATGGTTGTCTTACTGTTGTTCAGGAGCCCCTTATGGTTGTCTTACTGTCCTTCAGGAGCCCCTTATGATTGTCTTACTGTTGTTCCGGAGCCCCTTATGGGTGTCTTACTGTTGTTCAGGAGCCCCTTATGGGTGTCTCACTGTTGTTCAGGAGCCCCTTATGGGTGTCTCACTGTTGTCTAAAATCATGTACTCGGAACTCGATTGCGAACACTGCTTTCTGTCCAGAACAGCTGGTTATAGTTAAGGCTGAGTTTTTGCTTGAATTTTAAGTTTGAACAAATTGGGCTTCCAAAAAAAAAAAAACAGTATATCGTTTAACATTTTGTGAGACTATATAGTCTGGCGTCCTGGGCGTCCTGGGGACACCAGACTATCCTTTCGTTTTTTGTGGACCTTCGGATGTATTGCGATGGTAATTTATGTTGAGGTACATCAGATAGTCTAGCGTCCCCACAATGCCCGCCAGACTATCACTGGTCCTATGTCGTGGGAACACAAAAATGCTCAAAATAATGTCTTTTGGGGGGGCGGGAAGCTCAATTACGGTAAAATTCAAAAAGAAAATCTCGGTTTTAACTAAATGGCTGTTCCTGTCAGCTTAGCACTCGTATTTGTTTGATTTCCTTCCGTTTACTGTTCCCTCTTTGATTTCCACCCATAATCGTGTGATTGCCTTTGCCTCTCAAACTCCCAACTGCCACTACTGTTCCCTTTTTCTCTTCTTCTTTTTTTTTTTTTTTTTCTCAAACAGAGCCTTATGGCTCTGTCTCCTTGTCCATTCTGGGGAGCGTCAGTCCGGTTCCTATTCCACCGGCAATTCAGGAATACATAATACAACGCGCTCGAAAACGTGTCCCCCTATAATAACTGGGACTGTCACTACTGTTCCAATGTTGTAAAGACGGCAGTGGGTCTCGCGTGACGCCCCCGCGAGACCTGGCCTCCAGTCTTGGGAAAAAGCTTGGGACATGGGTGTTTGGACCCAGTGCAAACTGCACTTGGGCGGGGGGACACCGCGCTACTGGACTGCTGCGCTATGTACTTGGTCTACTAAAAAGGTTTTTGGTGCTGCTCCTTTCTACCACTGTCATTCACAGGAATGCATTTCAACAAGAGGGTCCTTAGACTCTGTACCCATTCCACATCCCAATCCCTTTGACCACCGCCCGTCTCTCCCTCTCTCATAGTGCTCTTTTCTCTACCGCTCTCTACAATACCTGCTTCACAAATCCAGATTCTTCTTTAATCTCAACTGGTGGACACGACTTTCATTTATGCCTCTCTCCATCAACTATTTCTCCCTTTCCAATTTCCCTTTTCCTGATGCGGGTGGAGCCATGCTGGGCCTTTTTTGTTTTGTACAGTTAGCGCCCAGGAGCGGAGATGGACGATTTTGGAGCAGACGAGAATGGATTTGTACAGGTGAATGGCGGCAGTGGTGGGGGCAGCGAGTTCTTTCCGACGGACTTCGGCGGCGATTCTTCCCCGGGGCGTGCAGGCGCTGCCGCTGGGGATCCCTACGGCCACTCAGAAGAAGATCGGCACTCGGGGCGTTTCCGTGACGATGGGGATGACTTTGGTGGCCCCTTGGGTGGCAGTGGCGCTTCCCCGCTGAACGGCATGTCGGGAACATCGGCCCCGCTAGACCTTCCGTTGGAATCTGAGCTCTTGTACGAGTGGCGGCGGAAGAGAGCTGCTGAACTGGAAGAAAAGTCGGAGCAGGAGAGAGAGAGGAAGGTGGACATCATTGAGGCGGCAGCGAGCCTGAGGAGCAATATGGCCGCACAGAGAGAAAAAGCAATGGAGGCAGCGCGACAGAATAATCGCGAGAAAGAAAGCGTGTTCTTGTCTGGCCTAGAGGCGTCCATGTACACCAACCCCGGCGGCAATTATTGGGCGACCGTGGCGGGAATGATCGATTTCGATTCGAAGCCGGAGGAGAAGGTGCCGGCGAAAACTGCCACTAAAAGCGGAACAGACAAAGCAGCCGACAAGAAGAAATCTGCAGGGGCAGCTTCTGTAGTAGTGAACAAGCCAAAGCCCGGTAAAGCGACGGATCTGACTCGAATGAGGCAGCTGTTGCTGAAGCTGAAACACAACCCTGGCGGTGGAAAACAGACGGCAGCTGAGACAAAGGGAATGAACGGCGGTCTGCGACATGCTCCTCAGCCTGGACCAGTTGCTGCGACCGGGGCGTCATCTACTGAATGGGGGGACTCCGTCTTTTTCTGAGTTTGCGGCGAGCGGAAGACCTGGCCGTTGGATGGATGGTACGATCGATGGTGAGGGATGGGATCCTCTCCAAGCTGAGATGTCTTCCACCTCGAATGGGCGGGCTGTGGTGCAGGCCCTATTGCTCCCTCCCCCGTCACCCCTCCCTCTTTCTCTCCCTTCACCTCATCTGGTGCCATGTGTGATGTTTTCATCACTCGTCTTGTTTTCCCTTACATCACTCTTCTTGTTTCGCCTTACATTCATTTCTTGTGTGCTCTCTAGATCTCTCAATTCACTGGTTGTCCGGGTGGTGATTCTGGTTCGGGATTGACCGAACGTGGTTTGAATCTCTCCTACTCAGTGCAGTTTTCTGTTCTTCTTATATCCTCCTGGTGATGATGGTTGATCTTTTGTGGCAATCCGACCGCTAAAGTCTTAGAAACATGAAGCTGCCTGGTCTACGTTCTTGCCTGCTCTGCGTGGGTGATTGCACTTCTGCTTGCACCTCCCTTTCCCCCTCCCTTCCTTCCTCTGCTTTACACGTCAGATTATGGCGCTCCGTGTTGATCAGCAGGTGATGATTCGATTGTTGTTGTCTATGTGTCTCTTCTTCTTGCAACCGGATGGACTCCCCCCTTCCCCCCCCCCACCTCTTCCCTAGCTCAACGTCTTGCCCCTCCTCCTCATCCTCTCCTAGCCCCGAATCCGATGTATTTTTGATTACTTGTTTTGAATGAAGAGTTGGTGAAGATTTGGAGTTCGTCTAGATATCCTGATTGAATACTTCAATAAACGTCGTGCAGTGTGAAATGGAAGGGCTTAGATGCAAGATTTAGAAAGGAGCGAGGGCTTTGAAGCCGTATTTGCTCTTCTTCCGTTGTTTCTGGCAATCTTCTCTTACCTGGCCCTCTCTTGACCAATACGTTGAGACTTCTCTCCTCTCTTCTGCTTCTTGTGACCGCTTCTTTTGTCGGTTCATCTGCAGAGTAGACCAAGAAGGGCCTGTGCTGCTCCGCCTGCGTAAGAAAAGGAGTATTGGTGATTATACAACCAACTCAAGGGGGAGCGTTACCGCGGCGGAGGGATGGGATAAAACGTAAAGGACAGAGGCTGAGGAATGGGAAACAACAGAAAGGACAGAGGTGTTTGTTGGGTGGTACGCGGCTGATCGTGTGTTAACGGACACGATAAATGCTACAGTGGGAGAGCAAAATGAGGCGAGGACGGAAGAGGGAGGTGTATAAAAGGTGAACGCCATGAACACGAGCACGGAGCTCAAGTCGGAACAAAAACTGAATGGTGGGACGGTTCTCATGCGGTCGTTGATCGTTGTTGGGTTGCATACTGTGCCAGACGAAAAGAAAAGAGATGAATGAAAAGAAATGGATGTGGAAGTCAGAGAACGGAACTTGATAACCTCAAAAATCTTAGACCGTAAACTCAAAAGCAAATGCAAGAGCTCACAATTCTGCAGAAAGCAAGGATGATGTGTTGGAAAACGGAATTAAGTGAAACTGGAATGACAGTGGTGATCAGAAATGCAACCTGCAATAGGGAACCTTCGGAGCAATGACATTGAGAATCGCACACACAGATAGTGTTTTGTGAGTGCAAGGAATTGTCTCGAGTAGAATATACCAATCAGTGCTGAGAGTGTCGTCCATCTCTCATTCATTCTGTTTGTCGATCCATCTGCAACTGTGAACAGCCATTTCCGCTGTCATTGAGTGATAGGGAATTGAGAGCACTGCTTGTTCTCCGTGTGCAAATTCAACCCTCCGATGGGCATCGGCCATTCCCTAAGCCAGCACGAATGACCAGGCCCTGAGGCAGGCCAAACAAGCCAGGGGGAAAAGGCCAGACCAACGGCTGACTGTAAAGTCACCTCGTGGACCCAGGCCCAGATCAGAATGTCAAAGTCAACACAAGATTTTGTGGCCGTCGATCGGGAATGATCTAACAGTGGTCCGCAGGTTCCAGAAGATTCAGGCCTCATGGAGTCCAGCCAGGAACTGGGACAAATTGCATCTGGATGATCCGGACCTTATTCTGACTGAAGCTGGTGGTCCTGGTGACCATGAGTCAATGCTGTATAGAGTTGATTTTGCCACCACTTGGGCATTCGGTTTTGCAAGTTGCTCGCAGCTTCAATGCTGCATGTGAGACCTGAGTTTGGGAGCTGGCGCCAGTCTGCTTCGTGGGCGCCAGCCATATGCGATGGAAGAAGAGAGAGAGCGAGGGAGAGAGTGTACGACGACCATTGCTGAGGCCATTGACGACGGCGAGGTAGTGAGGAGAGGGAGAGAGAGTGTGAGTGAAGAGAGACGTGTGAGTACGAACCTGGTCTCACTTGACGCTGCTGCTGACGCTGTTCATCAATGGAGGTGCACTCTTCGGAGATAAGGCTGCATCCTGCATGTGTCAGATTGTGATCAGACTGCTGATGTGTCAGAGGTGGAGGAGCCCGGTGGAGAAGAGGGACATGACTGCTATCCACTCTTCTCTTCCTATCCGTCTCTCTTCTAGTCTGGTTACTCTTGGAATGGGAAACGTACACGTGGCAGCAGAAGATCAGGTGCATCATTGATTCATTGTGTTCCCATCCGATTGATAGTTCCGGGACAGTTATCATGCGACATTGCTATTTATTGATTTGCTGGATTGCTGGACAGACGAGATTGGGTTCATTACAATTTGGTATCAGAGCGAACTCACCTCATCTCGGCAATTGCTGCTTGGTTGACGACGACGACACGACACCACAGTGATTGTTTCTCTCTGATTGGGTGCTGACTTGGCACGGGCAGAGTGGTTTTCACCATATGCTCGTGCTGACGTGGCGCTGATTGGCTGGTTCCCTCAAGAAAATAAATCGCCACGGTGTCCCTCTGAACGGGGTGCTGACATGGCATGCGCAGAGTGGTTTTTACCACTTGCTTGTGCTGATGTGGCGCTCACTGGTTGGTTTCGTAAGGAAATGAATCGCCAGCAATGCCGCACTGATTGTATAGCGCTGAAGGGAAGGAAGAAACAAGCGTTGATGTGGCATGTGTGGTGGTGAGAGCACTGTTGACGTGTCCTATCTACTGGCGAGAGTATGGCTGATGTGGCACATCCAAGTTGGGGCGATGCTAGTGTTGCTGATGTCACCGCAGAGAGCATGCTGACGTGAAGCCAGAAGGACAGCGGGATTCTGTTCCTGCGACTGAATGCTGACATGAACATACTGTGTTGGCTATTGGTCGACGCTGACCTGGACTTACATTCATCAGCTTAGTGATTGATGCTGATGTGGACTTGCCTGTGTAGCTTTCTGATGTTTTCTGGCCTATGGACTGACTGTTGGTGATACCTGATCGAATGGCCAGAAAGAATCCGCACACATTTGACGCGAGCATCACAAGCAGCAAAGCATATTGAAAGAAAGAAATCCGTAGTCTTAGTTTTTTAATATTTTTTATTTCCTCTTTTTCGTTTTTGTTTTTTTTGCTGTTCTGATTTTTTTACGTGTCCGCGGAACAGATAGTTGCATAGTCGGATTGTGCAGTAGCTCAAAGGATGGCATCCTTGTGGAACAGCTTGCAGTTGTCTGGTCTGACAAAGTTCATTCCCTTGTTTTTCCATCCGGTCTCATTGACAATGTTGTGCGAAGAAATGCATACCCGTGGGCAAGTAAATGCCCGCAGAGATCATGAGAAGCTGAAACTTCAGCAGGTTTTGACAGAAATCCATGAGGCTGGCCCGGAAGCAGAAAGTCGTGTCCGGAGCCAGTTTGGCCTGCAAAGTTTCGAAGAACATTTGGACCAGGCCGGGACGGGAGTTGACCTTCTCTGCGTTGCAGGAGAACTGAACCTGGGCCTGGGCCGGTCTTCCGGTCTTAGCCAGGGCTCATCACAGTCTGGATCGATTTGTAGGCGAGATGTTCATTCGAAATACGGAGCGCACATAGAAGAAGAGAACAAAGGGAAGGAAGGGGGAACAAGCGAGGAAAACAGAAAAAAAATAAATGAAGATGTAGGGGATCAGAATATCAGACAATAAGAAGAAGCACTGCAGGCAGAGAAGAAGAAGAAGGAAGCCATGGAATAGGAAGGGAAACATATAGAAGAAAAGAAGATGAATGAAACCAGAAATAGAGTGAAGATGGAAGAAGGAAGTGGCATTGCAACTTTTATTCAGAACAGGATATCTTTTACATGGTTCACCTGAGGACGAAGTTACATCAAGTCATGGCCAACGAAAACCTGCTTTCCGCCCAGCTGGCAACGTTGACCAATGCAGTCAAGCAGAAGCAACCTATGACCAACGAAGATCAGAAAAAGACCGGGGAAGAACCGAAGCTTGAGACAATGAAGAAACTGATGGGACATGTAATGAAGTCCACCCCTAAACAAGAGACCCCAAAGAAGTGACAAGGGAGAAGGTGAAAATGAAGCTCCCATACACATTCAATGGAAAGAAAGGAAAAAACCTGCTTTGTGGATCGGAGAGATCTAGACGCACTGCTCCACGACCCCAGTAGATGAATATAGGGGGGTAGTGTTTACCATCTCATGTCTTGGTGAAGAAGCCAAGGCATGGGTGCTGTTAAAACTGAATGCCGCCGGATTTTAGTTTATTGGGGACTGGGCGAATACCTTGAATGTGAGGGAATTTCTGAAGAAGATTAAAGAAAGATTTTTAGACCCGCTGCTCTCTGAACAAAGACCACATCAGATAAGGCATTTGACCAACTTATGGCGATCAACCAATGACTCTGGACATTTGTCGATGCTCTTTCTCGTGAAGTTCATCGTCTGCTGCAAGTACTAGGACGGAACATCCGTTGTGATCAGGGGCCTCTATATCTACTCACGAGCCTTACCTTGAATGTGAGGGAATTTGTGAAGAAGATGCTCTCTGAACAAAGACCACATCAGATAAGGCATTTGACCAACTTATTGCGATCAACCAATGACTCTGGACGTTTGTCGATGCTCTTTCTCGTGAAGTTCATTGTCTGCTGTAAGTACTAGGACGGAACATCCGTTGTGATCAGGGCCTCTATATCTACTCACGAGCCTTACCTTGAATGTGAGGGAATTTGTGAAGAAGATTAAAGAAATATTTTTAGACCCGCTGCTCTCTGAACAAAGACCACATCAGATAAGGCGTTTGACGAACTTATTGCGATCAACCAATGACTCTGGATGTTTGTCGATGCTCTCTCTCGTGAAGTTCATCGTCTGCTGTAAGTACTAGGACGGAACATCCATTGTGATCAGGGCCTCTATATCTACTCACGAGCCTTACCTGAGCCTATCTGTGGGCAAGTGGTAGCTGAATTAAAATCGGGTAAGTATACGTACAAACAGTTATGGGATCTCACTGTGCAGTGAGAACAAATGACATCCCGATTGTAAAACACCTACGATGGGGTTACCAAGTCAGGGCAAGGGAGTGCACAGGGAAAAAGTGTGGAGGCAGAAGAGACAACACCACCGACTTGTTGTGTTCGATGACGAAACAACGGAGAGGTGAGCCCTCGAATGAAGCAAGGGATAGACGAGCGCAGGCGGAGAATTGCGAAAGGGTGATGTTACCATCGCAATTGTCAGCAACGGTGGCAACAATAAGAGAAATGGAAACGGATATACAAGGAGGCTATGTTCTTTTTCAGCTCATTGTGGTAGAGGTTATGGGAGGCTATGGAAAAGAATTGGCGTTTTTGAGGATGTATAGTAGGAGAGGATGGATAATCATCAGTGCTTGAAGTGCGCCACTGTGGGGTACATTATAGTATGGTGCCCTTTGATCCTGAACCCGAAAGGTAGCAGCCAGTAGGAGTATTATCTGTTTTTTTAGCTGAAGGGTGCAGACGTAGCCTGGTGCCGAAAACCTTCTTCCACCCTTTAGCTCCTATGGCAGAGGATGTTTCTTCCTTGGCCCCTTACTTGTATCGCCTTGAACCTGTGATGTGTAGAATCCATCAGAGTGAGACCCTTTATGAGTTTGGCAATGAACTGATTAACTTACGGAGCTTGTGAGCTAAGAAGGCGAAGTTTAAGGGTGAGTTTATGCATGAAGACATAGGGATTGCGAAGACATGGACGGGTGCTTTGTTAGACTCGGGCTCGACTGTATTTTATATATCTGAGGGCATTGTTAAGAGAATGTCCGTGGGTATGTGAGCAAAAAAAATTGTAAAGCCAATTGTCTTCGTATTGGCAGACCTCAGTACTATCATGGTTTCCCAGCGTGTGGAAAACGTGAAGTGTTACTTCAAGACACGGGAAGGTAAGTGGACCCTGCATGAAGTAACATTATTGATTGAAAAAACATCATCGTTTGATTTGATATTGGGAATAGATTGGCATGAGGAAGCAGACCCCAAGATCAAATATGAGGAAAAAGTTGTGAAAATAAAGAACGAGAAGAAGAAACTGAAATTGATTAAATTGTATCACAAATTCAGTTCATACTCTGCATTATTTTTGTGGTGCACGACTTTTTTGACATTTCGATCAATGGTTGTAAAGAATAATTTGACTCGAAAGGTGACGATGGTGGTAGTAAAAAATGTTAGTGAGAGTTCCTCCTCCCACCTTCTTATTTAAAATTTATTTGAAGAGTATAAGGATTTGTAGAATGAACCAACGGGGATAACCGAGATTGTTATTGGGAGTAAGATTTTCGAAGGACCAATCTACTGTATGTCCCCAAAGGAATTAAATAAAACATACCATTGAGAAACTTTTCGGGAGTAAGATTCCCGAAGGACCAATCTATCATATGTCCCCGAAGGAACTTTATGTCGAACCCATCCCTCGGATTGATGACTTTCTTGATCAATTACAAGGATGCAAGTACTTCGCAAAATTGACTTGAAGTCCGGTTGTCATCAGATTGAGGTAGCCCTTGAAGATGAAAACAAGACGACTTTCATGACAAGGCATCATCACTACGAGGTCATAGTGATGCTGTTTGGATTGAGTAATGCATTTGCTTCCTTCCAGAGGTCAATGAATGAGTTGTTCAAAGAATGGTTGCGTTATGATTCTGACCAATATTCATTAGAAAGTACAATGTCGTTCAATTTCAAAAGTAAATGAATGAACTGGAGAGGAGAGAGAGGGAAAGAAGAAGAAAAAGATGTACATCATCAAAGACCGATGAGAATTCTCTTTTTCTCCAATCACTTTTTTCCTCCTTATCTCCTCCCTCGTATTCAAATAAGGAATAATAACAATAAAGTTGAATGGTTGAACCGGAATCAGAAGCAATGAATCCTTTTTACTGCATGTATCACATAAGGTCCATCATAGCCATGACCCCCTGCTTCCTCCTTCCGCCGAGGTTGAGACTATGGTGGACTACCAGGGCACTGCCCTGCTGTGCAAAGGACATCACAAAGCGGCTATGGCTGCTTTAGCTCAGGCCGCCATGCCTGACTCTGCCTTGAAGCTTATTGGTGTAGCTTTACCCGAACCGGGGCATTCCAGACGCAGCACCCACCAAGGTGATGAAAATGGCCTCCCCTATAGTCAAGTAAGTATCTTTGGCGCTCCCCCCTCCTAATCCTAGTCTTCGTCCTCCTCATCTTCTTGCTCCTCCACAACAACGATGTTATGATGTTGGCGTTGCTCCAGCGAGCGCTGCAAACAGTGTGTTCAAGTTTGCACATTGATAATGAGGAGGAGCACTTTGTTCCTCCTCGAGATAAAGTGGTATGCTTGCCTCTTGGCGAGTGACTTTCTAGGCCGCATGGCGTCCAAGCAACCTGCACCTCCTCCCATTCGAAGAACTTGAACATCATTGCAAACTTTGATATTGTTCATACATACCCTAGACTCAGATTGGTTGGACTGGTACCTGCTTAGACCTAGCCTACAACTATTGGGCCTCTAAAAATGTCAACTTTCCATTTTTTTGCTCGGTCTCGAGTACCCGGCACATCTACCTCTACCTGGTGTGGTATCGGCCGACCTGCTACTTTAGTGTTTTTCCATTGCTTCAAGTGGCGTCGCGGACCTCTTTTCTCGCCACGTGAGTTTTTTTCTGCTGCAACCCTTAATGTCACGGCCACAGGTAATTACCGACCCTTTGGATCTTCCACACGGACAAGTACCCGGATGGGTCACACACACACACTCAGCCCGACAAACACTCAGACAGACATGCAGACCAACAAGTACGCATACACGCAGGCTTATAAAAGTTCCACAAGTGGGAAACTCAGCAAGGCATGCATTCCATTGGCAAAACCCATAAATTAGGTGTGTCTCGGTTCGTGTTTGGCAGGTCCCAACAGTTGGACCAATTCGTGGTGGTGTACCTCGATGACATCCTGGTTTTCAAAACGTTGGAAGAGCATGAAAAATATATGAGTTTGGTCCTCAAAAATTGAGAGAAAGTAACTTTAAACTGAACCTTATAAGAAGTATGAATTTGCAAAGTCTGAAGTCTTATATGTGGAACATGTGGTGATTAAAGATGGGTTGAGGCTGGAGAAAAAAAAAAATGTTGCTATAAGAAATTGACCTAACCTGATTTGCGTTCCTCTCTTGGACTAGCTGACTATTATAAGAAGGCTGTTCAAAAATTTATCCTCCGTAGCTACCTCAATGAGGATGCTCTTGAAGAAAGAGATCATTTGGCATTGGGACAAAGATTGTGAGTCTGCATTTAAAAAGTTGAAGTATGCTCTTGCTA